CAATTATAATTTGCATTATTCCAGGAAGATGTTTGCCAGACTCCTTTTTAAGAACTTGTGCTCCATAGGTTATTGCCCCACTAGTAGAAGGGCCTAAGTCTGCATTCAGACCAAGGGCATAGTGTTTGAAATGAGGCTGGGAGTTTACTTAATCTATTTTCACATCAACTGTATAAATCAATGAGGGGGAACATGGTGGGTAAACTACAGTTTATCCACAGTTTACCCACCTCTGTATTACACTACACCGCTCATTCAGATTTAGTGAATTTAGTTTCAAGTTAACCTCAAGTTTGACTAGTTCTAATCTCATGCCTTTTGTCAGAATGAGGACAAATTTGTTGCACAAAAACTTTCCTGCACTAGCTTATGAGAAGAAAAGCTTATTGTGGATGTACTTCAAAGTTAATCTAGTTCTAAAACACCAAAAAAAAAAAAAAAACTCCAATAAGTGGATTGATGATTAAATTCCCCACTGGAATAAATCAGCAGTATTGTGGTTGGAATCATTTGCTTTTTTTCTTCTGTAAAGCGTCTGTCTTTGCAGACTGTTATTGGCATAACAGTAGAAGCAGAATAGCACCGCCTCAAAGTGACCCAATACTTTCATTAATTGACATCAGACAAAGTAATCTGATGAATACAAAGTGCCCTTAGCCTAGAGACCCACTCATTCCCCTGCCACACACACACACATACATCATCAACACAACACAACATAACACACACAACACACACATCATCACACACACAACAACACACACATACACACAAAGAGCAGATGTTTCACGTAATGGGAGCACAACAGGAAGAGAATTCAATTCAATTTGGCCCGAGGTCTAATAGGACATCAAGTGGAAGAGGAAGGCGATAGGGTTTCACAGTGGAAGCCCATCTGTGTCCATGCTCCCCTTCAAACCCACCTACCCACTGATGTTGTTAGACTGAAATGAGACAAGAGCACCCTGATGCATCGTAGGCTGTAATCACCTTCTCAAATGACACCATAAGGCCTCGGGGTTGAAAGGAAGGGGCAAGGATTTGTTTTGTTTGATGGCATTCAATGCATGTATTGTCATTGTGAAGTTTCATTGGATTTAAAAGGGATTAGAAGACTCCTGGGCAGTGGTCAGGTGACCTTCAGGCATAACATGAGAGTTTGTTCTCAGATCATGTGTCTCTGCTGGAATGCTTTATGTGCATGCTAACACTAACTCATACAGAAGT